GAAGCCCACCCCTGGACATACAGTATATATAATGTTTGGTAGCTCAATAGAGGAGCATGCTTCTACAAAAAATCCCATTTATACCGATATCTAAATGTAATTTACCTTTTGGAAGTCGTTTGCAAGATTAATTGGCATGATCTGATTTTATGTAATTTGGCTTGAACTCAAACACTGGATTGTATTGCAGCAGTGGTTTTTTGCCAGATTGGTCAAGCTATTAAGGAAACTGTAAAGCATAATTTGAAACCATTAGGAAAAAATGCTGGCAGGTTTATAACCACGGGGCACTGTATCTGGATTGCAGAACCCCACATTGCCATTAGGTGGCAGCAAAGAAAGAGCTTCCTGTTTTGCTTGGTTGCCATCTAGTGGTGGTCTAGATTTTTGCAGCTCCAACATGGCAACTTTCATTTGAAATTAAAAAGAAAGCAAGGAAGATAAACTCCCTTGTACTCTTTTTGTGCCTAAAGAAAGATATATTTTTTATTGTTGGTCTTTAAGATTAACAGAGGGCAGAGGTCTATTAAAACAATTTGCTGCAATTTGCTGAGTGACTTTTCCTTGTGCCAAGGCAGTATAGGTCAGATATTGGGGATAATGTAAAGAGATTGTCATGCCCTCCCGGTAGGTTTTCTGGAGGATTCTCATTGGTTGCTTTTAGTTAGAAAATTCTGGAATAAACAGCCCGCTGGAATAAAGCAAGGATTCCTAACTTGATTACAGCAGTAATAAAATTTTTATGTTTTTCTTCAAATTCAATTGTAAAAGCATGACATAATACATATGGTTTGTACTGATTGTTCAGCCCCATCCATCTGGCATTGCTCTAATGTGCTTCTGGTGCTGAATACTTAGGTTTGAAATGTTCTATAAGGTTTGTTATGCTATCATAACATCAGATCAGATGCTTTATGCTTTGTGAAGCCCTCCTTTCTCATATAGATGCCCACATTCTTTATGATTTATAGGGATTACAGTGTCTGGGTTTATATTTGTGTGTGTTGGATCTCATTATCTGCAATCAGGACAGAAAACAGACTACCAAAGAATAAATCTCATTTTATTATTAAGAGAAAAAAAAAGATGAGGGTCACAACAATTCTAATGAGTACTTTAGCCCTCAAATGTAAACACTACATACAGGCAATTCAAAGCTATTAGCATTTGGCTTACATTTTCCTGTCGTTTTGCTGAAAGTTGAGGATGGATGGGTGGGGAGCAGGGGTGAAATGCTCCCGGTTCGGACCGGATTGCCCGATCCGGTAGTGATGGCGGTGGGTGGTTCGGAGAACCTGTAGCAAAAATCCCTCCCCATCCCTAACCCCCATGCCCAGCTGAGCCGCGCAATCATCAGAGGCTTTTTATTTTATTTTTAAAAGCATTTTTTCGGCCGAAAAAATGTTTTTAAAAGTAGAAAAAAAGCCTCTGCCGATCAGGCAAGTCAGCTGGGATGGTCAAAGGATTAAAAAAAAAAGAAAAGCCTCTGCCGATCAGGCAAGTCAGCTGGGATCATCAGAGGCTTTTAAAAGCATTTTTTTTACAACCTCTTCAGCTGAAGAGGTGGTAGAAAAAAATGGTTTTAAAAGTAAAAAAAAAAAAAAAAAGTTGGCCAAGCCCACTCAGTCATATTGCCCCCCACCACCAAACCACGCCCACAGAACCGGCAGTAACAATTTTTACATTTGACCACTGCTGGGGAGATTTATTTATTTAATTTATTTAATAACTTTATTGTCATTGTACGTGTATACACAGTATACCCATACAACGAAATTCACTTAACACCCAAAGACCAGGTCCAATACACATAACAATCCCCGAATACACCCCCACCCACCACAATTCCCCACTCCTAAACCACCCAAACATCTACACAACAGACCAAGTAATGCTGTCCAACATCTTACTGATGGTGGCCCTTTAGTTTATTGTTGGGTGCAATTATAGCTCTGGGATAAAAACTATTCAGAAAACATGCGGTCCGAGTTTTAATTGTTCTGCATCTTTTGCCAGAAGGCAACAGTCCAAAAAGATGGTAAGAAGGATGGGAAGAGTCTCTGAGAATGTTATGCAACTTCCTCAAACAGAAAGATTCGAAGATATCATCCAGGGCTGTTAGCCAGAGTCCGATGATATTCTGGGCAGTTTTAATGATTCTCTGTAGAGCTTTTTTGTCCGCTACAGAGTTGCTCCCATACCATGCAAGAATGCTGCATGTCAGGACACTCTCAATGGTGCTGCGATAGCAGGACAGAAGTTGATGCTGAGATAGATTTATCTTCCTGAGCTTGTATTTTTTGGGAATGCCAGCAAGCCTACACCTAGATATTGGTTATGTAATGTCTACTAGCTTTGTTTATTGGTGCTCTCTGAGCTTGGTTGTTTCTTGCAGATGCTTCATTATCCAAACTAGGTAACCTTATCAGTGCTAGTAAGGAGTGGAGTTTGCTCTCAGTTTATATTCTAGTGCCTTGTCCTGTCAGTGTGGCTGGGAGTAGTCTTAGAAGTTCCCAGCAAAGCCAAAGGACCTATAAGACCACCCCCACCAATTGTTCTGCCCCAGCTTCGGATTCCCAGAGAATGTGACACACACCAAGCTTCGCAAACACTGTTTAATTCCAAACAAACCCCTTTCAAGAATGCAGGCTTCCCGTGCAAAGGGTCCTTATCAAAGTTATTAAGAACAAAGTCTGACAAAGGTTGGCAACCAGCCCAGAAAACCAGATAGGAGAAGTCGCTCGCTCTCCAAGATACTCTGTAGTAATGAGATGTTGTTTCTAGCAAGAAAGCACTAGCTGCGTGCGACTTAAATAGGCTAAGGGAGTGGCCAATTATCCTCAAGCCCTACTCTCGAGTAGACCTCCTCCTCCTGAGTAGCCACTCCTGCCTTTTGGCAGCCCTGCGTGCCCGAGCATTGAGGAGAGGCTCCTCCACTTTGCTCTCTCCACTGGAAGGAGCCTCTGGAGGTTCTGAAGGCCCTGGCTGAGTCTCTGCCTCTGGCATCACATCCTCTTCGGCCTCAGCGCTGTCCGACGCGAACGACGGCTATGCCGGCTGCTGGCATGACACCACACCAGCCTCCTCGTCGTCAGGATCAGCCACGATCCTCGCAGGCTGCTGGCGGGCCACAACACCAATACTGACAGGGCAAGCCAGTAGAATATAAATTGGGAGCAAAGCCCACTCGTTACTAGCACTGATGATGTTGCCTAGTTTGGGTAATAAACTAGGCAGGAAAACAAACAAGTCCAGAGAGCACCAAGGACTCCTCATTTCAACCCTGAGCTACAAATATTCATTTTAAAAATGGGGGTAATGCTTTTATTAAAGACCAGGAAAAAGAGTAATTAGGTCAAACAGCTTAAGCACTCCTGGACTAGACTAAAAATGTTTCCATCCCTGATTATTTTCATAGGGAAAAAGACACTAGCATTACTCTACTCGGCTTCTGAAACCAAGGATGTATTTCAATCCCTCCCCACCAAGGCTGTAGGAACGGATAATTGGTCAGGCAGGGGTTGGTAAGAAAAGCAATATGGATAGTCCTTGACTTACAACCCTTCATTTAGTGACTGTTCAATGTTACAATGGCACTGAACAAAGATGACTGATGACAATTTGTCACACTTAAAGCAACATCCTCATAAGTCCCGTGATCTTGGGAGCTTGGCAACTGGCTCGTATTTATTTATTTTATTATGTATTTATTTATTTTATTAAACTTGTATGCCGCCCTCTCTCCCAAAGGACTCAGGGCGGCTCACAACGATAAAAAACACATAAAAAACCAATAAAATCCTCTTTAAAAAAGACCCCTTCAGTCCAATCCGGCCAGGCCAAATAGCCATGTTTTGAGGTCACGGCAGAAAGAGCGAAGGTCAGGAGCCACCCGGAGCTCCAGAGGGAGCTGATTCCACAGAGTAAGCGCGGCCACAGAGAAGGCCTGCTCCCTGGGAGTCGCCAGCCGACACTGTCTGGCCGACGGGACCCCAAGGAGGCCCTCCCTGTGAGAGTGCACCAGGTGATGGGGAGCTGTCGCTGGCCGCAGATGGTTCGCCAGGTACCCCGGGCCTAAGCCATGTAGGGCTTTATAGGTAATTACCAGCACTGGAATTACGTGATCCCCTTTTGCAACCTTCTAACAAGCAAAGTCAATGGGGATGACAGATTCACTTAACAACCAAGTGACTCACTTAACAACTGTGGCAAGAAAGGTTGTAAAATGGAAGCAAAACTCACTTAACAAGATTTTCACTTAGCGACAGGCATTTTGGGTTCAATTGCAGGCCGTAAACCGAGGACTACCTGTATATCCTAGAAATCACAAAAGCAGTGCTGAGAATGTTCCAAGAATATAAGGAGTCTCTCTTCATGTACTGGCATGGAAATGATTAATAAAAAATATGCGTGGAATGATAAATGCATGGAAAGAGTGTAATTTTTCCCATACTCCTACATTCTGCTTGTGGCTAGAGAATGTTGCAGTAAGAAACACGTCAGAATAATTTACATTTCCAGTGAAATCTGGGTTTTGAAATTACAGTACTCGAACACAAAGCACAGAGTGGTTTTTTATTATTTTTAAGCTGCACTTCCTACCCTGCCTATTGCCCAATTTCTACAAACTCTGACTTCTAGGTTTTACAAGTTTGAAATTTCCCAATCACTCAAAAAGCAATACGTCACGAAGCTGCCGGGAAACCAGATGGTGATCTCTCCAAAGTGACATTTGTATATCTGATCTTAACTTCCACCTTGAAACCTCAAGGATGACCTAAAAGCTTGCTCCCCGAATTTAGATTCACTATTTAGAGATGACACCCTCATTAAAGCATCTCCCTCTTTCTGTTTGATCGATTTCAAATACGCCTGCCTCTTCATGAAAGAGGCAGATTTCCATGCTGGATCGCAGTATCTACTTTGAATATGAGACACAGACAGTCCATTGCAAATCTTTTAATAGATGGTTCTTTCCAGCCTACAGATGTCCCCTCAAATACAGTGCTATGTAGCACAAACATATCTTTGATAGTCACAGAACCAAGAGTATGAAAAGCTCAAGATACATCAGCACGAGTGAGCCAGCCCAGAGTTTTGTTAATTTTGTGATGCCATTCAAATAACAGTGGAAGCCTTCTACAGGGAATTTGTTCTGAGGAGTTGAGTCGGTTGAAGCTTCTTTAAGGGCTTAAGGATAGTGGTGATCTACGCTAAAACAATTGCAATTATAGCGATGTACACGAATGCTAATACGATTCCAATTCCCAGAGCTATGTGAGCGAAGGACCGGGCTAATATGGAAAGTCGCCGAGCAGCTGTTTGGTCACCAACTTCGTTAGCTTGCCGAGTCTGCAGGAAAAAAAAAGGAATCGATGATGAAATCATCATGGAGCCTTGGTAGTACAGTGGTTTAATGCACCCTGTTATTAACACAGCTGCCTGCAATTTCTGCAGGTTCGAATCTTACCAGGCTCAAGGTTGACTCAGCCTTCCAATCCTTTCTAAGGTAGGTTAAATGAGGACCCAGTTTGTGGGGGCAATAAGCTGACTTTGTCTAAATATACAAAAGTATGAAGGCTATTGCTTAACGCATTGTAAGCCGCCCTGAGTCTCCGGAGAAGGGCGGCATATAAATCAAATTAAAAAAAAAATACTGAATAATATTTCACATGCAGGAAATGTACATACTGAGTATGTACCCAGAAGCTTCTGTTGTTTTGGCCAGTGAAGAATTCTGTTGTCATGGGTGGTACTATTCTTATCAATAGAGACTGGCAGAGCCGAAGTTCATAGTTCACATCTTTTTAAAGCTTGCTTTGATAGATAAATAGCCAATATAAAAGTTTCTGGGAAATGATAAGAGTCAACAGAATCTGACTCAATAGATAGCTAAACATGTTTTTCAGCTGCGATGGCCTCCTGCAACCCTCTGCCAGCGAAAATGGGGCCTGGGAGAGCTGCACGCGGCCCTCCCGAGCGCCATTTTTTCTGGCAGAGGCATCGCAGGCCATTTCTTCTCTGTTTCCAGGGGGGGCAGATCTAAGCACCCCACGGGCCAGATCTGGCCCCCAGTTTGACACCCCTGTTCTAGGGTCTCAGCAAAGGTGCTCTTTCAAGAGGCAACTGGACTTTCTGGTTTTTCTTTGAAAACGTTTCACTTCTCATCCAAGAAGCTTCTTTGAAGCAAAGCGTCTTCAAAGAAAAACCAAAAAGTCCCATTGCCTTTTTTTGGGATGGCCTTTAAACTCAATTTAATCTCAGCTTTTTCAGCCTTGTGTCCTCCAGGTTCATCATCTAGAGCAGTGTTTCTCAACCTCAGCAGCTTTAAGATGCGTGGGCTTCAATTCCCAGAATTCCTCAGCCAGCCACACATTGTATTTTTTTAATATAAAATGCAAACGGAAATAAAGACAATGGAGAAAAGGGGAAGGAAAGGGGAAAGGAAAGATAGAGGAGATAAAGTGAGGGAAGAGGGAAAAATTAAAAAAAGAAAAGAAAAACAAAAAGCAGTGACCTACAACTTTTTTTTTTTTGATGCAGAAAGATAAAATCTCACATCTTAAAGTTGCTGAGGTTAAAAAACGATGCTTGAGAGATCAGGAAAAGCCACTTGAAGCTTGCAACCCACTCTAAAGTCTAGCTACTTTTAAAACCATTGCATTTAAAATGAATACCAGCTAAAGCCCAGCTGATTGTTGAGCTGCTGTTTGCCACATAGTAGTAATTCTCATCAGCAGAAGGATACCTGGCAATTCATATCTCCCTTCCAAAATGAACATCAGCCTGGATTTTGGCTGTAGTTTACAGCACTCTCTGAGATTCCCTTACTGAAGGAGAAGGATAAACATTAAAATGTCTGTACAACATTTTCCCTAAAATGTCCCACGTTCTCCCTCCCTCCCTCACTTCTGCTCTCCCCTTCTCTCCCCTTCTCTCCCTTTCTCTCCCTCACTTCCGCTCTTCCCTTCTCTCCCTTTCTCTCCCTCTCTCCCTCTCTCTCCCTTTCTCCCTTTCTCTCCCTCGCTTCCACTCTCCCTTTCTCTTCCTTTCTCTCCCTTTCTCTCCCTCTCTCCCTTTTTGCTTCCACTCTTCCCTTCTCTCCCTTCTCTCCCTTTCTCTCCCTCACTTCCACTCTCCCTTTCTCTCCCTCTCTCCCTTTCTCTCCCTCTCTCCCTTTCTCTCCCTCGCTTCCACTCTCCCTTTCTCTTCCTTTCTCTCCCTTTCTCTCCCTCTCTCCCTCTCCCTCGTTCCACTCTTCCCTTCCTCCCTTTCTCTCCCTTTCTCTCCCTTTCTCTCCCTCACTTCCACTCTCCCTTTCTCTCCCTCTCTCCCTTTCTCTCCTTCTCCCTTTCTCTCCCTCGCTTCCACTCTTCCCTTCTCTTCCTTTCTCTCCCTTTCTCTCCCTCACTTCCACTCTCCCTTTCTCTCCCTCTCTCCCTCTCTCTCCCTTTCTCCCTTTCTCTCCCTCGCTTCCACTTTCCTTTCTCTTCCTTTCTCTCCCTTTCTCTCCTCTCTCCCTTTTTCTCCCTCCTCTCCACTCTTCCCTTCTCTCCCTTTCTCTCCCTTTCTTCCTCACTTCCACTCTCCCTTTCTCTCCCTCTCTCCCTTTCTCTCCCTTTCTCTCCCTCGCTTCCACTCTTCCCTTCTCTTCCTTTCTCTCCCTCTCTCCCTTTCTCTCCCTCTCTCCCTCTCTCTATTTCTCTCTCTCTCTCCCTCTCTCCCTCTCTCTCCCTCCCTCCATCTATCTCTCTCTCCCTCTCTCCTTAGCATAAGTTGCCCTTAGCATAAGTTGCCTTTGTCTAATTTCAGTGACAAAAGACAGTGAATGATAGTCCTTCATATCTTCCTTGTCTGTTAGCTTCCATGTTTATATTAGATCCTATCCACCAAAGCTTCTCTTTTTGCAAGTAACATTATGTCCTCCCCACCCGCTTTCTGTCCTCCCCACCTCCCAGTGCTCACCTGTATTGAGAAAACCAAGGCAGTGACACCTAGGGGTAGAAAGCAGCAAAGCATGGTGAAGATGGAGTAGGCCAAAAAATCAGGTTCTTTAGTTGGCTGGGATGGGGTGATGATTATAGTTTGCTGAGGTTGAACAAACAGACCTTGATTGGATCCTGCATCAGGGGATATATAGAAAGTTTGGTATGGGGGTGGCATGGCAGAAGGCCCTGTATTATCCATAGGGTACGGTGGTCCAGCAGGATAGTTCAGAGCAGGAACTGAAAGGGGCTCCTTTCCGGAGTATGGTGGCGGATCCATAGCATCAGATTTTGTGTTTCCCGGTTCTCCTTCTTCAGTCAACCAATCAATAATATTTACTCAATCGATGACCAGCAAATCTCCTTCCTCAGTTCTCCACACTCCAGCACCTCAGCTGCTGATGGAAGACTATTGTGTTTTCCACTGTCAGACGTTTCTAGTGGAACTATTAGAATTTGCCTTATTCTTCAGTAGAATTGTTTTCCAGTGACTTCCAGTTCCAGGTGGTAAGTACATAAAATGAAAAATTAGACAATGAATAACCCAGCTAGATTAATACTAGGTGTGGCATCTAGAAAAGGGGGATGACCTTGCTCAATAGCCATAATCTTATTTCTTCTGTGTGATAAGGAAACATGTATCCATTTTGTTTCCCAGTGACCTTCTTGGTAAGTTGTCTAAATCATTTCTCACCACGATGTTCATCATTTCACACAGCTCACGTTAAGGAGAAGTAGGCGTCTAGCAGTTGCTGGGCACAAATAGCCTTTCAAAAGTCTCATCAAAATGGTTGGGCGAGGAAGTGTGTGAATTCTTCTCTTTATCTTCTCCAGGTATAGCTGGAGTCCCTCAGGATTTTCAGTGGAGATGTTCTCTTTGCAACACTGGAGAACTTCGGCAGGGATGTTATCTTTCCCAGGTGCCTTTCCAGAGGCAAGGGAATCCAGGGCCACGTTTAGTTCTTCTAAAGTTGGTTCACTATCAAGCTCCTCCAAGACAGGCAGGTACTCAATGTTATTTAATGCTTCTTCAGTTACCACGTTTTCTCTGGAGTATAAATGTTGCACCCAGCGTGCCATCTGCTGTGTTCAGTCCTGGATAACTTCAGCTGTAGCAGACTTCAGAAGGGCAGGTTTCTTCTGTGTTGGACCCAAGGCCTGCTTGATGCCATCATAGATCTCCTTGATGTTGCTTTCTGGATCCGCGAGCAAAGCTGCAGCCAATAGTCATTAGCACATCTCCTAGCGATCTGTTGGACTTTGCTACGAGCAGCTCACAGAACCTGTAGGTTGCGCTCACTGGAGCAGGCTTTATATGCCTTGGCCTTTTTAGTCGCACCAGATGCTGTTTTAGGACCTCTTTCCAGAGCACGATACCATAGTCTTTTGAGACTGAAGGTTGCCAATGATTCAGGATTTTACTCTGCTGGTCATTGTCAGCTATAGGGGGCGGTGCTCATCTCTGTTTCAAGGCCATTGGGCCAGCGCTGTCCGAAGACTTCTGTGGCCAGTATGATGTCATGGAACGCTGTTACCTTCCCACTGAAGTGGTACCTATTTATCTACTTGTATTTGCATGCTTTCAAACTGCTCGGTTGGCAGGAGCTGGAGCAAGGAACAGAAGCTCATCCCATCGTGTGACGCTTGGGTGTCGAACCTGGGCTGCAGGGTTGCCAGCCAACAAGCCCAGCACCTTAACCATTGAGCCAGCTCCCCACCCTGTACAAGCTCAATACTCCTTTGAAAATTCATTTGCAAGAAAGAAATTACATGAGGTAATAAGCCTTTTGTGATTCCTTAGGAGCAACAAACAACAACAACAAAAAAAAAATAGCAGACATTCATTGACTGGAATTCATCTAATTCCCTAGGGGTGGAATTTCTGTGAGCCATTTTGTTATCAGGGAAAGAATGACATGAAGCTCTAGGCACAGTATATCACTCAATGTTTCGCCCACACGGCTTGTTTATAAATGTGTCCTTGGAAGAAATATGGAAGCTTTTGATGTTCTGGTGGAACAATGCTTTGTTTCTGACGACTTGGCTGTTTGAAGATCACAACAGGCCCCATTAAATTAATCCACACTTCCTCTTTTTCTATCTATGGAAAGGTTTAGAGATGAAAAGCAGCAGTCACAATGAATTGCAACGATGGGGAAGGCGCTGCTCAAGAGGTGACCTTCACTCAAGTATCTGAAACAATAAGGGGATTGTGTATCTCTGTTGCAAAGATTCTGTGACATGGAATGGAAGAAAGCTGTTTTTATGATCACTTACAGTATAGGGTGCAAACGTGTGAGATACGTTGGAAATAGTTCTCCTCTGACATCAGAGCAGGTTTCGCAACCTCCTTCTCTAAATGATATATGTATGTGCTTATACAAAGTCCTTTGTCTTCTGCTAATGATTAATCTTCTAGCCTATTCTGGTCAACATTTCCTGTTCCATATAATTTCAATCTTTCTTAATAAAGGAAGATTGGGTTAAAGCATGGCTTAATACTTTTGTTGTCCCTTCCAACTTCATAGTTTTATCATTCTAAGCCAGAGGTGTCAAACTCGATTTCATTGAGGGCCACATCAGGGTTGGATTTGACCTCAGGGTGGCCAGTGGGGCATGGCCAGGGTGGCCATGGCCAGCTTGATGTCACTTGTGTCAGGGCACATAAATAATAAATAAATAATAAATAACTTTACTGTCATTGTATGTGTATACACAATATACCCATACAACGAAATTCCCTTAACAACCAAAGACCAGGTCCAATACACATAACAATCCCCGAATACAGCCCCACCCACCACAATTCTCCACCCCTAAACCATCCAAACACAACAGACCAAGTAATACTATCCAACAGCTCACTGATGGTGGCCCTTTAGTTCATTGTTGAGTGCAATTATAGCTCTGGGATAAAAACTATTCAGAAAACGTGTGGTCCAAGTTTTAATTGTTCTGTATCTTCTGCCAGAAGGCAACAGTCCAAAAAGATTGTAAGCAGGATGGGAAGAGTCTCTGAGAATGTTATGCAACTTTCTCAAACAGCGAGATGCGAAGATGTCATCTAGGGCTGGTAGCTGGAGTCCGATGATATTCTGAGCAGTTTTAATAATTCTCTGTAGGGTTTTTTTTTTTTTTTGTAGAGCTCTGTAGAGTATGTGATGGCCTGAGAGCTCTGCCAACGAAAACGGACTCCTGAACTCAGTTTTCAGCCATGATGGCCTCCTGCAGCCCTCTGCCAGCCAAAACGGAGCTGGGGTGTGTGTGCGTGCAGCCCTCCTGGCTCCTATTATCGGCAACAATGGCATCCTGTAGTCCTCTGCCAGTGGCCCCTCTGAGCTCTGTTTTCACTGGCAGAGGCACTGCGGGCCGGTCCTTTGCTGTTTTCATGACGACCCCATGGGCTAGATCTAAGCACCCCGCAGGCTGGATCTGGCCCCCGGACCATGAGTTTGACACCTCTGTTCTAAGCCAAGGTTTCTCAACCTTGGCAACTTTAAGATATGTGGACTTCAACTCCCAGAATTCCCCAGCCGGCATGCTCTAAGCTATATTCCAACTTCAAAGTAGGGAAAGGAGAAAGGAAAGGAAACAGCCCTTACATAAAATCCATACTTTTCCATTGGAGGAAATAATAGCGAAGAGGGAGTTGAAACAAAATCTAAGGAAATCTATTTATGTCTTCTGTAAATGAATTTCCTCTACCTGCTTAGTAGCCAAAGAATTGTTTGTTAGTTGGCAAAAGTTCTCCAGCTGCCTACTTATCTCCTGGTAAGTAAACTATATCTGACGTGCATAAATTCAGGTGAACAATAGCTGATAGCAACAAACTTGAGTTTTTTTCTATCTGTTAGAATAGAATGAACTGGAAGGGACCTTGGAGATCTTCTAGTCCAGCCCCCTGCTCAAGCAGGAGAACCTATACCATTTCAGATAAGTGACTGTCTAGATGCTTTTTAAAAACATCCAGTGATGGAGGGCCCACAATTTCTGGAGGCAAGGTATTCCACTGGTTAATTGTCTTCACTGTTAGGAAATTTCTCCTTAATTCCAGGTTGCTTCTCTCCTTAGTTTCCATCCATTGTTTCTTGTCCTGCCCTCTCTTGCTTGGGAGAATAATTTGACCCCCTCTTCTTTGCGGCAACCTCTCAAATACTGGAACACTGCTAACATGTCACCCCTAAGTCTTCTTTTCTTTAGACTAGCCAAACCCAAATCCTGTAGCTGTTCTTCATATGTTTTAGTAGTCATCTGGATTTCTGTTGTCCAGATATAGTAGTCCTGCAAGCTGAGCTGGGGATTTGAACTGGGTCACCTCATTAGATTCCATGGTCTCATCTGTTCAGTTTCTGTGTCCCAATCATAGGAACAGTCCCTGGCCTTATCCATGAGTGGGACCTTAACCACTGGCCTTCAGAAATGGAGAAATGTTTGGCTCACTCATGGAAAGTTCATCTTGAAGAACGCAGCTTTATCCCTCCTCCTCAGGTTAGAAATGTGTTAATACAAACTGAATTGCATTGCACAATCTAAACAAAGGCAATCTGTAGTGACTTTGGGTGGGTGGGGAATCTTTGCTAAAGCCTCTGATTAATCGTTGTGTCCATGATCCAAACAAACAGCATAAGAGAAGGATCTGAGAAGAGCAATGATTTAGCAGCCTCTTTTTATGGTATTTTTCAGCCACCCCAGCTCTTCCTTTTTTTTACTTTTATGAGGAGCTTAAATCACCGAAAGGCTGATAGGCAAAGTAAACAATCCTAGAAAGAATTTTAACCACAGCTTCTCTATCCAAATCCGGTGTCATGCTATGGTTATTTTCACTGATGTCAGGAATCAGTCAAGAATTATAGCTACCCAATGGGCCTATAATAACAAGATCTGTCACCCCTTTCAAGGTAGACCAGACCAGGAAATCAAAATTATGAATGCTAACATTTATTATAAGATTATAGTAGCAGAATCTTGTAAATCTGATTGTGTCTCCCCTCTCCTTCCCTTTATGTTCAAGAGAAGTAGGGAAGGTCTTGTCTGAGATGCTTTATGAAACTACATTTCACAATGTACCCTCAGGCTCAAATTTCTTTTATCTGACCATTGTCTTGGTTGAGGATGTTTCTTCTCTTCTTCTTTTGGTTGCCACAATATAAAAAAAGATGTTGAGACTCTAGAAAGAGTCCAGAGAAGAGCAACAATGATGATCAGGGGTCTGGAGGCTAAAACATATGAAGAACGGTTGCAGGAATTGGATATGTCTAGTTTC